TGGGGATGGGGGCCAGCAGGTAGAAGCAGGGCCAGGCAGTGTGTCTGCAAATTACTGACCTTAGTAGGATTTGTATCCTTTTTTCTCTTTGATGGGAATGAAGAGAGACATGGATGCTGGGTGAAATCAGGTTACTTCTCCTCTTCCCTTGGGGATGAGGATGCAGGGCGTGAGCTCTAGCATCTGCTCCACCTCCCCTCCCAGCAGAAGTCGTCACTCTCTGCCTGCCACCCTTTGTCCCCTCCCAGCTCAGCACTTCCACATCTGGCTCGAGCTGCTGTCCGCCTCTCCCTCCCCAGCTACTGGCTCCTGCAGGCGGAGCATTGACCCACCTTCCCAGTATTCCCTGCACCTAACACAGAGCTAGTGCTCAGTGTGCATTTAGAAAGTGTCTACACACTTTGTGTTTTTATTATAGAAGTCATTCATTCAAGAAATAGTTTATCAAGAGGGAGGGTACAGCTCAAAATGCTAGAGTGCATGCTTAGCATGCACAAGGTCCTGGGTTCAATCCCCAGTACCTCCTCTAAAAAATAAATAACTAAATGTAATTAACCTCCCTCACCCCCCACAAGAAACAGTTCATCAAATGACTTTTATGTGCCAGAAACCGTGTGCATTCCCATTGCGGAAAATTTGGAAAATACAGACAAGATTAAGGAAGAAAACAGCAACAGCTTAGAATGCCACGGCTATCGTTCTGATGTTCTTCTTCCCAGCCTTTGCTTGTATATTTAAGTATGCTTTAGATTGCACTGTATGTGTACGTCCACGGGCAACTTTTTTCCGCCCAACGTTATATCCTGTGACGTTTTGCTCCTTGAAAACACGATCTTAGGACTTAGAAGGGTCCACTGTTAATACCCGTGGGCTGAAGTCGACTGAGTAGCGTTTGCCATGTTTAAATCTCTGGTTTGTCTGGTGGGCGGCGGATGGGTCCAACAGAAGGAGCCGACGGTGGAAACTCCCCCAACTCCTCAGCCTTCCTGCAACGGAGATGCCAACAGGACCAAGGACATCAAAGAGGGTGAGCAGCCCCTGCCCCTCGCTGAGGCCTCGCACAGGGGAGGCTGGGCCAGTTGGAGCCCCCTGAGAGAGACTGGAATTGCTTTAGCCACACCCCACCTGCCCCACAATCACTGTCACTCTTCTCAAGTCATTCTAGAGAAAATAAATCTAAATAAAATCTAGGGCAAGCCTCCTAACCCCTCTCCAGCCAGACCTCTGTTCTGAGCTCCTCCTATGGAGAGGTCCTGGAGATGCTGGCAGGAAGGCTGGTGGGAGGTGAGCATACCCCAAGCAGAGCTGAGATGGGCAATGCCAGTGGGACAGAGCCGACTCAGCCAGGAGATGAGGGAAGAGCAGGTGGGCAATGGAGCCTCGAGAGAAAGGTGAAGCCCCTCACTAACCACTTTTCTCCCTGACAGAGACTCCAGACTCCACGGAGACCCCAGCAGAGGACCGTGCTGGCCGAGGGCCCCTGCCTTGCCCCTCTCTCTGTGAACTGCTGGCCTCCACTGCTGTCAAACTCTGTCTGGGGCATGAACGGATACACATGGCCTTCGCCCCTGTCACCCCAGCCCTGCCCAGCGTGAGCGAGGGACCAAGGGAAGGCTGGGGGCCTGGGACTGAGGCTGGGCTGGCCTGCCCTGCAGGGTCCAGCGTGTCCTGAGCACTCCTGCCCCTCCATCTCTCCCTCCCTGCAGGACGACCGCATCACCAACATCCTGGACAGCATCATCGCGCAAGTCGTGGAGCGGAAGATCCAGGAGAAAGCCCTGGGGCCTGGGCTGCGGGCTGGGCCAGGCCTGCGCAAGGGCCTGGGCCTGCCCCTCTCACCGGTGCGGCCCCGGCTGCCTCCCCCGGCGCTTTGCTCTGGCTGCAGGAGCCCAGGCCTCGGCGGGGCTTCCATCTCTTTCAGGAACACTGGAGGCAGGGCCAGGTGAGGCTCCTTGCCTTGGTGCTCCCAGCTCTCACGCCGTCGCCCACCCTCAGGGCCTTGATCCCCAGACCCAGGCAGACGGGGTCCCTCATTCAGAGGGAGCAACAGGGCTGACTCCACGCTGTTCTGGTTCCCCTGCAACACCCCCCAGCCTGGCCATATTGGGCGCCCCGTCCATTCTCCCCCGTCCCCCTTTTTCCCCCACTACAGCCCGTGTTGGTGTCAGGGATTCAGAGGACACTGCAAGGCCACCTGTGGGGGACGGAAGCTCTTGGGGCCCTTGGAGGCCAGGTGCAGGCACTGACTCCCCTCGGGCCTCCGCAGCCCGCAGGTCTGGGCAGCGCAACATTCTGGGAGGGATTCTCCCGGCCTGAGGGTAAGTGTCCCTAACGTGGGGTAGAGGGAGCCGGGAGCCCGAGCTGAGGGGCGGCAGAGTCCCGGAGCGGCCCTGGGGGCGGCGTCCAGTACAGAAACCGGACTCTGTTGCTGCCAGAGAAGCAGGGGCCTCTGGGCCAAGGAGGTTCCTCCCTGGGCCAATGGCCTTTCTGTCTCCTCCCCTAGTTCGTCCAAAGTCAGATGAGGGCTCCGTCCTCCTGCTGCACAGAGCTCTGGGGGACGAGGACACAAGCAGGTGTGTGGTACCGAGAACTGGCCGGGCCTCTCTTCCTCGCCTCCTTTGCTCCGTGACCCTCAGTGCTCCACGCTTGCCTCGGGGGGTTACCCTAGTTGTGGGGGGCTTTGACGGGGCCTCTGGTGCCTGGGTCGAGCCTGCTGGGCATGACCCCTCCCACACACGCAGGGTGGAGAACCTGGCCGCCAGCCTGCCCCTCCCAGAGTACTGTGCCCACCATGGGAAACTCAACCTGGCTTCCTACCTCCCACCGGGCCCTGTCCTGCGTCCACTGGAGCCCCAGCTGTGGGCAGCCTATGGTGAGTGTCCACTCCGTTCCTGCCCAGTCCCTCCCCTCTTCCTGTCATCTCCGTGTTCACGTGCATCTGTGCCAAGGCCCGGGGGCCTGTTCCCAACTGTCCTTTCTCTACCTCCATTCAGGTGTGAGCCCACACCGTAGGCACCTGGGGACCAAGAACCTCTGTGTGGAGGTGACTGACCTGGTCAGCGTCCTGGTATGTGCTGAAGCCCCACTGCCTGCCTGGCACCAGGCACAGAAAGGTGCGTCCTCGGCCGGAAGCAGGGGTGGGCACAAGCTGTGAAGGTGAGGTGCTGTCTCTGCAGGCCTTGGGCCCTCCTGAGCTGTCTTTCTCCCCCAGACTTCCTCTCAGGCCTGGATGGGGAGGGGCTCTGGTCTCCGGGCAGCCAGGTCAGCACCGTGTGGCATGTGTTCCGGGCACAGGACGCCCAGCGTATCCGCCGCTTTCTCCAGATGGTGAGGAGGGAGCTGGGAGCCCACCCCTTCCCCTCCCAGCCCCAGAAGCTCTCCCTTTGTGTGTGCCCCGTGTGCTCGCCCCCCTGCCTCAGCTGAGCTGGACTCGACAGGTGCAGAGAAGGCAGAGTGGGCCCTTATGAGTGGCGTGTGGTAGGGTGAACAGAAAGGGCAGGGGCTGAAATAGGACCCAATGATGAAATGAAGCAGGAGCTGCCGCAGGCTGGGCTCTGTGCCAAGGGCCCTAGGTACGCTATCTCTGTTAACTGTCACAACCAACCTATGTGGTAGGTACTGCTGCTTTCCCATTTCACAGATGAGAAAACTAAGGCTGAATGGTAAAGCTAGTCCCTGAGCTTGTGGCTGTTCCCAGCCTGGGTCATTACACTCCGTGGGCTCCGGGTCTGCGCTGGCAGGCCAATGGGAAACCTGCCTGAAAATCCATCCTGTTGCTCTCCTCCTCTGCATCTTATGAGGAGGTGTCCTTTGAGATGCTAGCAAGTAAGCGCTGAGGGGGCAGTGTGTTAGGTGGAGGAAAGAAGGGACCAGGAGAGGGGGCAGGGAAGGAGAAGAGGAGGGGGTGAGCAAGAGGCTCTGGCCAGCAGAGGGTGTGTCCCAGTGGTTCCAAAGTCCAGATGAGCTCTGACTGTCCTGGAGAAAAGACGCCACGAAGTGTCACTATGCTCAGCCACACACACGCACACACACATGCACACAAACGTGCAGGTGTCCAAGTAGCTGTCCACCACCACCCTCCCTGCCCCAAGGCATGCACATCTGCAGACACATCGACGGACTCACACAGCTCTGCAGACACACACACAGGTGCTGGAGCACGCAGAGGGGAGCAGACTGAAGCACACCTTCATACACAGGTGGCCTTGTCTGGTCTGGGTGTGGCCAGCTGTGGGCCGTCCTGTACGGCCAAACCCAGTGATTCACAGGGAGGGTCTGAGGGGCATATTCTCACTGGGTGGCCTGGGAAACACTGCTTCAGTTCCAGAATGTTCTTCCTCGGCACCTGCCTGGAGTTACCCTACCTGACTCACCAGCCTCCCCTCTCCCTGTGGTCCAGTCCTGGAGGCCTGAGCTCTAAGCCCAAGGGTAATTGCTGAGGTCCTAGCTGAGGAGGTGGATGTAGCCGGTGGCCAGCTGGAGGGTGATGCTGGCGTTCACCTCTACAGGTGTTCCCTGGGCCCTGGCCTCCATGAGTCCCCATCTGCCCAGGGAGCTCCCCACTCTGGTTGCTCTGGGGAAGTCCCCCCAAAGCTTGCCTGCTCCAGAGGACAGGCAAGTTCATCCAGCCACAGGGAGTCAGAACTTCCACGTGGCCTTACCTTTGTGGATTGAGGATCTTAGAAGACTGACAAATGCTTTGGATCCTCTCCTCAGGGACATACAGCTGCCTACTTACAATTTAGCACACAGTTCAGGATGTTCACAGGACTCCACAAGTTAAGAGCTCCTGGTGTCGACGCTTTATGAGTTGGGATTATGCAGGTTGACTTTCTGGGCTTTGGAGAAAAGGGTACCTCTGAACGAGGGAGCAGAGGGCCCAGGGCCAGGGCCAGAGAGGCATCTAGCCCAGGAAAAGCGGGGATTTAGACCCCTAGCTTCAGCCTTAATCCTTGCCTCTAAGCTCCTTCCAGCCAAATAGTTCTGCCAACCTGAGTGGCCCCAGCCCCTCACCACCCTGCCCCTTTCTCTCCAACCCCCATGTCCTCCCCGACCTGCCCTCCAAGGCTTGACTGCTCCAGGTTTTTCCTGTGCCTCTAGCCTCTGGGGAGTCCATGCTCCATCCTGCAGCCCTACCTGCGGCTTTCCCCTTACTCATTCCTCCTTCTTTTCTCTCAGGTGTGCCCTGCTGGGGCCGGAAACCTGGAGCCTGGCACCCCAGGCAGCTGCTACCTGGACGCAGGGCTGCGGCGGCGCCTGCGGGAGGAGTGGGGTGTGAGCTGCTGGACCCTGCTGCAGGCCCCTGGAGAGGCCGTGCTGGTGCCCGCGGGGGCTCCCCACCAGGTGCTTCCCCAGCTCGCAGGCGGGCGGTGCCTTCCCAGAGAGCTCATGATATCAGAAGCATTCCCCAGCCTTTTACACCCTCGTCCCTCTCAACTGCCTCCAGAGCCAGGCAGGGCAGGAAGTCACGCCTCCATTTAGGGAAAAGGAGAAGCTGAGTGGTCTTGAAATGGCCAACTGCCCTCTGTGTCCTCACTGGCGAGGCGACTCTGCTGTCTCTGGCATCCCCTAGGCCTGGGTTTGGCCACACCCCTTGGGTTGTCTGGTGCTGGATCCAGGGCCTCTGCTCTCAGGCCTGAATGGGGGTCATTCTGGGAAGCAGACCTCAGGGATGAGACAGAGGGGTAGGGTGATTACGTCATCCCGAGTCTGCACTGACTCTCCTGCCCCCTCCCCCCTCCCCGGAGCAGGTGCAGGGCCTGGTAAGCACAGTGAGCGTCACTCAGCACTTCCTGTCCCCGGAGACCTCTGCCCTCTCTGCTCAGCTCTGCCACCAGGGACCCAGCCTGTCCCCTGACCACCGCCTGCTTTATGCCCAGGTGAGTGTGACACTGGCCAGGAGCCTGAGTGTGCTGCTCAAGGTCCCCTACGGCACAACTGGGCCCAGGAAGGTATTCTTGGCTGGGGGGAGCCCCAGGATGTGACTATAAACTCCTTGTCTTCTCTTTTTCTTCTAGATGGACTGGGCTGTGTTCCAAGCAGTGAAGGTGGCTGTGGGAACATTGCAGGAAGCAAAATAGAGGGAGCCCAGGTGTCTGGGGTAGGGGTGAGGGACAGGCAGACCAGTGCTCAGCTTCAGCAGAGACTGGCACTGGGGGACTTGGGGACTTTGGGTCAATTCCGCAAGCACCACTCTGGGCACAAGCAGGGCACCCCGTTCCCTGCCCCTGATCTGGGCCCTAACAAAAACAACCACAGTGCCACCAAAGCTCACACCTGCCCTTTGCAGGCTGGCACCTGCTCCACCCCTGCGCCCCTCTCCATGGTACCAGCCCCACACTAGGGGTGACTGTCTCCCTCCAACCCCTGCCCCCACCCCGACCCAGGGGACAAACAGCCCTTCCTTGGGGACCTCGGGAATCATTCTGGCTTAAGCAACACCTGCTGCTGCTGCCTCTTCTGCTCTCTCACCTGTGCCCAAACTCTGCTTACACCACCCACATCCTCTCGAGCTCCTGGGGGGGCCCTTTGCACTGCAAGCGTGCTGGACAAGGGGCTACCGACATCCTGCCCTCTGGCCAGAAAGCTGTGAAGTGTGAGGAGGGGGTGGCATCAGGACACTGCACAGGCTTGGCTGGAGGGGATGGTACAGGCGAGTCCCTGTCCCTGCTCCCTCCTCTTGCCTCCCTCCTTTCTCAATTTCCATTAAAGGCTGTTGTTTTGTGAATGCTGCCGGTGTGGTTGGCCCTGCTCCTGCAGGCCACATGGACTGGGGAGGGAGGGGACACGTGGAAATGGAGCAGGGTGGGAAGGGGCTGAGGCTGTTGTAACAGGGACTTCAAATACTCCTGCCTGCTCTTCTTGGTAGAGGAGGGTGTTGGGGGGTGTCCCCTCCATCCCACTGAGAGGCAGATGGAGCCTTCCCCAGGGGGCTGCCCCTGAGGATGGTCCTGACAGCAACAGTGGGCCAGGCAGAGGCCTGGACCATAGCATCAAGGTGGCTTCCCTGTGTGGCACCACAGATCTGGGTGCCCCAGCTCTCTCCGCAAACACCTGGCTTCCCCAGCTCTCCTGTGTGACCTGACCTGGAGCTCCGGCATCTGGCCCAGGAGCGCCCCTGCCCAGCCTTCTGCCCTCAGTGTCCTGTGGCCGGCCCCAAGCCCCCGGCCTGGGACTGACCTGCTGCCTGAGACAGCTGACAGCCCCGCCCCACCCCAGGGCCCTCTGGTGTGGCTCCACCCGCTCCCCTGCCCTTGTCCGTCCGTCTCAGCCCCAACATGCTCTGACTATTGTTAAACTTAATTGTTCCTGCCGTGGTTCAGGGAATTTTTTTTATGAAATAAAAATTTTTTATTAAAAACTTAATATACTTTCCGAACATTTAGAAAAAAGAAAAAAAACCCCTATAAACCCACCTCCAGTCCAACCACTATTAGTATTTTCATATATTTCCTTCTAGTATTTTCTCCAGGGAATCTGCTTTATACAGGGTTGAATTGGGGTGCTTCGTACTGGGGTTCTTTTTTTACCACTGGATTCTGATCACTTCTGTGCTGCTATCTGACGTTTATTTTAAATGACTGCTTATATCCCCTTAAGCGGCTTTGCAGTGATTTACATAATCATCCCTCATTTTTTAAAAAATTAGGTTTTTCCATTGTTTGCAAAGGGAGATTATTTTAATTTTTTCCCATGGGCTAGGGGACAAAAAGGAAAAATTAAGGAGCTGCTGCCCTTTAAGTGCCACTGGATTCTTTTAACTGATTTTATTTAACCCCTTATCATGACTTAGGGGTAGGTATTATTTATTTCCATTTACAGAAAAAGAAACAGGCAGGCTAGGGATAAGTGAGTCACCCAAGGTCACCCAGCAATCTTTGTGGCAGAATTGGGACTTGAACCAATTTTCCTGACTCATTTACATGACAGTCTTAGCACTTAATGGACTTTACAGACGGGTTTGCTGTCCCCTCTGTCCTCCTCCTTCCCGTACAGACACTTCACAGCTGATCACGTTCCAAGTGGCACAGAGCGACTCATCCTCACCTACACTTCACCTTGTATAGCCGTGTCCTGATGTCACCCCAGACCACAAATACGGGGTCCTTCCCGTGGGAAGATGGGGATGGACCAGTGACTGGGCTTCTTCCGACTCCAGTCTGCCCTGCTGCCTCCCCTTTCATGGTGGGTCCTAGCACCCTCGAGGGCATATTAGGTCTGCCTCCTAGCGAGCAGCAGGTGGACCAAATGTTCCAGGACTAGACCTGCGAATGCAGACAGTCCAGGTGGGGACAGATCCTGAGAGCCGGCTTGGGGCACGGGGTGGCACTCTTCCTCACGGAGGCTCAGACGGCTCACCTAGTCCAGCTCTGCCTCCTGGGCCCCTGTTTCTCCCAGCTTCTCACTGTCCACCTTCTGTTCCAGCCCTGCTCACTGGCCGAGACAGCCCAGAGGCACAACCCTCAGGGCTGGCAGTGACCTCGGGGTGTGTCTATCTATCCAATGCCACCTTTTTTTTTCTCTTATCAAGTACATTTTTAAGACTTCTTATTTTATTATGAAATGGTTTGAGGTCACAAAGATAGCACAGAATGTCCCCAGTTACCCTTTATCCAGCTTCCTCTCATGTGAACATCTTACACAACTTAAGAAATGGATATTGATATGCTATTAACTAAGCAACAGACTTGACTGGGGTTTCATCAGTTCTCCACTAACGTCCCTCTTCTGTTTCAGGATCCACCTAGCAAGCTTACAGCCGCTCTGGAGTGTAGAGGCGGCTCTCCCAAGGTCGCTCAGCAAGCTAGCGGCAGGGCACAGGCTGAAGCCAGACCTCCTCCTCCCTGTCCTTTGGGCTCCTGCCCTCCTCACCCTTCCTGCTTTGTCCAGGGCCAGGTGTTGCTCCATAAACAACTCCAGCCTCACCGACACCGCTGCCCCACCCTGCCTGCCCAGCCCGTTTCTGAGGTTGCCTATACCACCTTCTTGCACACGTGCTCACATGCACATGCCCTGAAACGCCCGGCTCACCCACACTAGCCAGTGCTCTTCCCTCGGTGGGAGTGGAGGACTAGGAGCCAACCTGATGGAGACCTGCCGTTGCTTCACATTCTCGAAGTTTCTATCTCAGCCCCCCTCCCTCCCTCAGCTTCTCCAGTTCTGTCTCAGGGCCTCTCCTGTCTCGGTCTGGCGTGTGCTCTCTGCCTCCCAGCGCCTGGAAGTCTATTTTCTGTTGTACCCCTCAGCCCTCCAAGAAGGCCCGGGTACACCCTCTCGAGGGCCCTCCACCTGTGGGGCCCTTTCACAGTTTACAGCTGGCTTTCAAGTTCCTCACATGCTCCTCATCACAGGGGTGATTAGGGCCACTTAGCAGGAGAGGCGTGCTTTCCCAGCGGTAATGGGGGGAGTGGAGCCGCGGTTTGCTGCAGCCTTTGGTCTTCCAGGCAGTTAGGCTGTCTGGTGTTTATCTTAAGCTGCCTCTGAGGCTCTCAGAGCCCTGCCCAGACATGACCTCACTCTCCCAAATCATCCCTGGGAGGCAGAAAGGAGTCTGGGACCAATGCTGTCCCCACTTCACAGATGGGAAAACCAAGAGCTAAACACACACACACACACAGATATACACACAGAGCAAATACGTTGACAAGTTGCTTGGCGGTCCTGCAGGCCTGACTCTCGGTCCTGTGATTTCAGTTGTCTGGAATGTGCGAGGTCTTGGATGGGGTGGGGGCAGCAGTGTTTACCAAGTGCCTCAAAAGACTGTGGGTCCACCGGGGATATCCCCCAGCCTAACATACAGCCCTGCCTCCAGGGAACCCGCAGCCGGGAGAGTGTGTGAGAAGGGCCTAAGGAGGCCCATCCTGTGGCTAGAGTCCGTGAGGGTGAGGTCTTCTAGTCCGTGGCGGCAGTGTAGGCACGTGCCATGAACGTGGGCCTTTGTCTGGTAACAACAAGGGCTGTGGCCAGGAGGGCCCGACCTGGAAAGTTGGTGGGCTGTCTGGTGATGGTGACCCACGCTGGACAGTCCACAGAGCTCCTCTCATGACGTCTCACCTTCCCGACCGCCCTGGGATGGAACAGCTGTTAGGAGCTCACTGCACCAGTCAGAAAACAGGCCCACGACTTATTCAGGGCACAGAGCCAGCCAAGGAATGGTGACTGGGCATCCAGCTCCAAGGCTAATGTTTTGACTGCTCCATCAAGCCACTGTCCCCCCAAAAAGGGATGTGCCCAAAGCCAGCAGGAGGAAAAGGGAAGCCTTAACTGAGGAGCTCCGACTTGGCTGCTTTCACAGTTTCTCTCCAGATGATCCTGCCTTCCTACCCTGAGAGGAGGTTAAAGGAACCTCTGAAGAGGAAAGGTCAGGCTAGGGGAAAAGAAGGAGTTTGCCAAATCAACCCACACCCCGCTCTCAATGGCCCAGGGCCCTGCTAACTGGGCAGGGGCGTCGGGGAGGACACGTAAAGACACAGGAGAAGAACCCCGGCCCCTGCAGGGGAGAGAAATGCATGAGAAATGCGGGGGGAAGGTGGCTGGGACACTGCTAAAGGCTAGTCAGGCTGAGCCCAGGCCCTCTCTCTGCCCCCAATCCCCACCTCCCATCGCCAGGCACACCTTGACCACCCCAGCTCTGCTCCTTCCCTCCTCTCAGCGCCTGGATCATCTCCTGCCCAAACCAGTCATTTAGCACTTGACTTAGAAGTCAGTTGACTTTCCATTATATGTCTATTCACCTCCCCAAATGGATCCGAATCTCCTCCAAGGCAAGAGCTCATGAGCCACGTGACAGTCAGTACATTCTTAGTAAAAAAAAGGCTATTTGGGAAAAATAAAGGCTATTTCGTGCAATGCCGTGGTAAGTTCATGACAAAAGCTGGACACTGGGTACAAGCCGCAACCCCGGTGACGTCATCGGGCTTGTGACGTCAGTGTCGCTGGCCGCCGTGGCGCTCCGCTGCCTGCGGGCAGGATGACGTCGCCGTCGGAACCCGGGCAGACAAGTGCGCCGAGGGAGGAATTAGCGAAGCTAGCGGCTGAAGACTCCGGGGAGAGGCGAAACCGATGGAGCAGCAGAAGCCGGGCGGGGTCCGCACTGCCGGGGCGGGGCGCCTGGCCCCCTTACGGATTGGTTCCGCCCCGCAGTGACCGACACGCACCAGCCAATCCGGGACAGCCGCGGAGACGCGCAGCCTATCAGCGGCCAGGGCTCGCCGAGCGCTTCCGCGTTCGCGAGCCTGCCCGCTCCAGTCCGCAGGGGGAGGGGGCGAGGCCGATGGGCCCGAGGGTCACCCACGTCCGTCCCATCCGGCTCGGCCGGTCTGCGGGGACCGGCCCGCTGCTTCCCAGGGAGCCCGATGGCCTCGGAAGGACTGGCGGGGGCGCTGGCGGCCGTGCTGGGGGGCCGGGGGCTGCGCGTGCAGAGCTGTGACTCGGGGCCGGCGGGGGAGCCGCCGGCGCCCGTGCGGCTGCGGAAGAACGTTTGCTACGTGGTGCTGGCCGTGTTCCTCAACGAGCAGGTGAGCGTCCACCCGTCGGGCCCACCGCCCGGGCCACCAGAGCACGCAGCCAGCCTCAGTGGGGACAGAGGACCTGCCGGCAATAGCCACCGCTTCTTGGTGTGTGGCTCTTCCCAGTTTTGCAAAGCACTCTCACACTTATATCTGAGCCTTGTGCGGTCCAGCCTGGAGATTGTCCCCATGTACAAAGGAGGAGGCCCAGGAGCCTGTT